AGGACGCCGAGGGCTTCCCCATTGACATCAAGGTGAAGGACAACGGTGACGGCACCTTCCACTGTGTCTACGTGCCCACCAAGGCCATGAAGCACACAGTCATCGTCGCCTGGGGGGGTGTCAACACCCCCAACAGCCCCTTCCGTGTGGGTGTCGTGGGGGCCCATGGGTGCAGGGGTGGCTGTGGGGGTCCCTTGAGGTGTAGGGAGGGGGTGACCTTCAGTCATGGAGGGTGTTACGGTGTCAGCTGTGGGGCGTGGGAGTCCCATGGGGCTGGGGGCCCGGGTGGGGCTGGGGGCCCATGCGGTGATGTGGATGGAAATGGGGGTCCCATGGGGTGCTGGGTGTGGGGATGGAGGTCCCAGACCTATAGGGTGCTGGGGTCGGGCTGGGAGTCCCATGGAGTGCTGGGGAAGGGAGTCTGGAGGGGTTGGATGGAGATAGGGTGCCATGGTGGGGTTGGGGGTCCCAGTCCCATGGGGTGCCAGGGGAAGAGGGGTCTGTGCCCCTGCCCCACGAGACACTGTGGGCCCGCAGGTGAGCGTGGGTGAGGGCAGCCACCCCAGCAGGGTGAAGGTGCACGGACCAGGTGTGGAGAAGACGGGGCTGAAGGCCAATGAACCCACCTACTTCACCGTGGACTGCAGTGAGGCTGGACAGGGTGGGTGCAACGGGGAGGGCACCCTGGGAACTCCTCTGTGGGCATGAGCCTTGTGTCCCTGGGCCAGCACCCCTGGTCCTGCACCCCTGGTCCTGCACCATTTCTGCCAGTCCTGCTCCATCATTCCTGGATCAAGGGTCCTTCATTCTGGGCCCATCAGTTCTGATCCTGGTCGTGCATTCCTGATCCTGGTCCTACATCCGTGATCCTGGTCCATTGTCCCTGCTCCTGGTCCAGGATTCCTGGGCCTGCATCCCTGACCCTGCACCTGCATCCCTGGTCCGTTATCTCTGATCCTGGTCCATGAGTCCTGGTCCTGTCCATCACCTCCAGCCCCGATCCAGCCCCCTGCCCCATCTGCCCGGTCCCACTCCTTGGTGTCCCCCTGGGAGCGGGGGCCACTGACCCGGGCACCCCACAGGTGACGTCAGCATCGGCATCAAATGTGCCCCGGGCGTGGTGGGGCCGCTGGAGGCTGACATCGACTTTGACATCATCAAGAACGACAACGACACCTTCACGGTCAAGTACACGGCGCCGGGCGCGGGGCTCTACACCATCATGGTGCTCTTTGCCAACCAGGTCAGAGTCTGGCACTGCCCCACAGCCCCAGGGTCCGTCCCGCACTCTGTGGGTGC